TCGGAGCTAAAATAACCGTTAAATTGTGATTTTTTGTTGATAACCGTCGAAAACTTTTGTTTTGTTACGTAATCTCTGAATGTTTGTTTTTTTGCGATTTTTTGTGTATGCCATATTGGAGTGTGTACAAACAAGTTTGATGGTTGGATCGTTGAAAAATGTTTCGTAGAATGTGTATCGCATCAAAACGGTAGATTAAACCAACACTAAGAGTAAATGTTATACTTCCCCATCAAGTATAAAATAAGATTTTGTAGTATCCACTAGTGTAATATTTTAAATTGAAGATCGAATTCATTCAATGCATTCTTATAGGGTTGAGGAGAGTAGCTGTAAAAAATCATCAAAATTGGAACTAAAATAACCGTTAAATTGTGATTTTTTGTTTATAACCGTCGAAAACTTTTGTTTTGTTACCTAATCTCTGAATGTTTGTTTTTTGTGATTTTTTACGTATGTGATCTTGAGTGTGTACAAACAAGTTTGACGGTTAGATCATTGAAAAACGTTTCGTAGAATGTGTATTGTGTCAAAACGGTAGATTAAATAAACACTTAAGAGTTAATGTTATACTTCCATTTAGAATAAAATAAAATTTTGTGGTATCCACTAGTGTAAATATTTTAAATTGAAGATCAAATTTATTCATTGCATTCATATAGGCTCAAGGAGTGTAACTGTAAAAAATCATTAAAATCGGAGCTAAAATAACAGTTAAATTGTGATTTTTCGTTTATAAGTGTTGAAAACTTTTATTCCGTTACGTAATCTCTGAATGTTTTTTTTTTTTTACGTATGCAATCTCAAAGTGTGTACAAATAAGTTTGACGGTTGGATCGTTGAAAAATGTATCGTAGAATGCATATCGCGTCAAAACGGTAGATTAAACAAACACTTAGAGTTACGATTATACTTCCATTAAGTATAAAATAAGATTTTGTGGTATCCACTAGTGTAAATATTTTAAATTGAAGATCGAATTAGTTCATTGCATTCTTATAGGGTCGAGGAGTGTAACTGTAAAAAAATCATCAAAACTGGAGCTAAAATAACAGTTAAATTGTGATTTTTCGTTTATAATCGTTGAAAACTTTTGTTTCGTTACCTAATTTCTGAATTTTTTTTTTGCAATTTTTTATGTAAGCGATTTTGTAGTATCTACAAACAAGTTTGACAATTAGATCATTGAAACTAGTTTTGTAGAATGCATGTCTCCGTTAAATTTGCCTAAATTTTTAAGTGTGAAAAGTAATTTGTGCTAAATTTTTATTTATGTTTTTAAAGTATTGATTAGACAATATTTAGTTTGTGTGATGACATTTTTATTGTACAATTATCTTTTTGTTTCTTTATTGCATATTTTTAGTGTACAATTATCTATTAGACAAAACAATTATTTATTTAATTTTTAAAAACGTATTCTATTTAAATACATATTATTTATTTATTTATTAAACCAAACAATTATTATTTTATTTTTTAAAATCGTAACAAAATTTTTTGGGGGGGGGGGGAGAATTTAAAATTTTGGAAGGGAAATTTGGGGGGATTTCTGCTGCCATTTTGTTTTGTCGGTTATAACCGACAGTAATGAAAATTTTTTGTTGGTTTTTATTTTTAAAAAATATTTATGTCGGTTTTAACCAACAGTAATGAAAATTTTCCAAAATAAAACCCCTCATTCTCTTACTTGCGCCGGTGCTTCTCCCTTCCCCCTTTTCTCATTTCCTTCTCCTTCTCTTCTCCCATTCTCCTTCTCGCTTCAATCACCATGGATGAAGAAGGCAGAACCTATGCAAGCCCTTGAGCACAGAGACAAGCAAAGCGCTGTAAGTCCTTCCACATGCTTCCACCTATGATTTAATTTATGTTTTTGTTGGATATGAATAATTCATATTTTGGAAGATATCAATAAAGGCTCCATCTTATTGGGATTTCATAGATATTTAGGGATTTGTTTGAGTAGTTCAAAATTATTTTCACAATCAGTAATCGTGTTTAGGAGAGTGCCGTGTTTTTTCATGCTAAGGAAGATGATGATGCGGAATTTGGTTCAAGCATGTTGGCGGAGTGCGCCATTTTTTCTCCTTATTATTTAGCTATAGAAGTGTACCTTATTAGCTCAATTTGGTTTGCTCATTAGCTGCAGAATTTGGTTCAAGCATGTTGGGTAAGAATGTTCAACGAGAACAAGAAGGAGAAGGGAGAATGCTCGCATGTCCTTTTCATATTTTTTTTATTATTAATATATTTCCTGTCGGTTATAGCCAACACAAGTTCTGTCGGTTTTATATATTTTCTGTCGGCTTTGTCCCACAGAGAATTCTCTTATTTATTGATTATTAATTTATTTTCTGTTGGTTTTAATTTATTCTCTATCAGTTATATCCGACACAATTTCTGGCGGTTATATCAGACACAATTTCTGTCGATTTTAGAGTATTTTCTGTTGCTGGCAAATCTGTTGCTTATTATATCCACCACTGCATCCATTTTCTGTTGGATTTTGCTTAATATCCGACAGTAATATACGTTTCTTGTCGGTTATCATAGGGACACTAATAAATGGTTTTGTAGTAGTGAGGATTCACCAACTACTAGACCTAGGCTCTGATACCACTTGAAGGAAATATTTTTGAAAACAAGTTCATTTGAGCAACATCTACAACATGCAATTAACAATTAAAGGCGGAACCATGCTTATATGCACTAAAAAAAATAAAACTTTACCCATGAAATTCAAGGCCTAATGAGTGTAGTGAATCAAGACTCAACTCAAGAACAAAGTGAGTTGAGAAATATTATACCTTTGTTGATTCCTCTTTGCATAAGCAAAGGCTAATCACCCAAGAGATAGGGTGTAACATCCACATCACCCAGGGGAGTGGATCCTCTATGCCTTATATGTATATTCCCATCTCTACCTAGCACGAGGCCTTTTGGGAGCTCACTGGCCATCGGAACTCCGAAATTAAGCGAGTTCACATGAGAGAAATCCTATGATGGGTGACCCACTAGGAAGTTGTTGTGTGAGTTCCCAAAAACAAAACCGTGAGGGTGTGGTCGGAGCCCAAAGCGGACAATATCATGCTACGACGGAGTTGTGCTCAAGATGTGGTGGAGCCCGGGTCGGGATGTGACAATTTGGTATTGTAACATTCCACATCGCCTAGGAGAGTGGATCCTCTATGCCTTATATGTATATTCCCATCTCTACCTAGCACGAGGCCTTTTGGAAGCTCAATGGCTTCGGGTTCCATCGGAACTCTGAAGTTAGACAAGTTCGCGTAAGAGAAATCCAATGATGGGGGACCTACTAGGAAATTCTTGTGCGAGTTCCTAGAAACAAAACCATGAGGGCGTGGTTGGGGCCCAAAGCAGACAATGTCGTGCTACGGCGGAGTCGTGCCTAAGAAGTGGTGAAGCCCGGGTCAGGATGTGACAATTTGGTATCAGAGCCAATCCCTGGCCAGAAGTTTGCCGATGAGGACGTTGGGCCCCTAAGGGGGTGGATTGTAACATCTCACATCGCCCAAGAGAGTGGATCCTCTATGCCTTATATGTATATTCTCATCTTTACCTAGCACGAGGCCTTTTGGGAGCTCACTGGCTTCGGGCTCCATCGGAACTTCGAAGTTAAGCAAGTTCACACGAGAGCAATCCCATGATGGGTGACCCACTAGGAAGTTCTTGTGTGAGTTCCTAGAAACAAAACCATGAGGGCGTGGTTGGGACCCAAAACAGACAATATCGTGCTACGACGGAGCCATGCCCAGGATATGGTGGAGCCCAGGTCGGGATATGACATAGGGTCTTCATTCCTTACTTCTTAGCTCCATGTATTTCTTAGATGAAGATGGTAGAATGGATTCTCCAAGTTCCCAAAATAGAGAACCTCTAAGTCTCCACACCAAGGAGAGCATTGATGAAGAGATGAGTGATCCAGAGGAAGTAAGATTGCTAGCTAATTTCCTCTAAGGTGGCTAGCCTCTTAGAGAGAAAAGGAGAGCATGTGTTCTTTCCAATTTCCTTAAAGAAAACCCAAAATGAATTTTGGCTATAAAGTTCTTTATACAGTCCTTTCATTTAAGTGACAAAAGAACCAAAACCCTTCATTCTCTACAAGAAGCTAAGACAAAGGGGGAAAAAAGTCCCACATTCCAACAAACACCAGAAAACAAGTTATACACAGCACCAACATCATCAATTTTCAATCTAGAAACTGACCAACAAGTTCAATCAAATAAAAAACGAAAACTTTACTTTGTGATGCAATGTAAATGGGATTGGTAACTCTTACTATACCAATGCATGACCATGTCAATAACATAAACAATTGTATTGACAATAATTTTCATTTTTTTTCTATGTTCCTCCACAGTATTTGCCATACTTGTTTGAATGTATGAACAAAGATATATTGTGATATGCAACAAAATTTAAATAGTTATAGGATATGTGACTTTATGTTTTAACCAAAAGTTATATACATGTAGATGCACAAGGTTTTTGAGGTGGTGGAACCAACAAACAAATGAGGCAACTACAAGACAGCAGCTCATTTATCACGACAAATTAATCACGGGCTTTATGAGTTTGTTATAAAAGGTACAATTTATCATGGGCATAATAAGCACGTGGTGAATAATAAGTTTTTATCACAGACAAATTTTAGCTCGTTGTAAAATAACAGTGAATGACCACGCACAAAGTTGCATGTTGTAAGTATAGTAATCCACCACGAGCAATGCTCGTGACCAATATTGTTAGTATCCACATCACTGTTTTGTTATCTATCACGAGCATAATGTGTGATAAATTCATATATACTTAAATTAAAAAAAAATTAACAAGGCGGGTCACTAAACTTTTTGTAAAATTTCAAATATTTTAAAATTTGAAATTTTCACACCACTTAAGTAGACTCCCGCACAAAATTCAAAATATAAAGGAAGAGAAATCCAAATTGTTTCTTTTATTGGTTAATCTCATCACCCACTCTCTCCCACACTACCATCTAAAAGACTAAAACCCTTCTCCCTATATATATGATGCCTCATAGCTGAGCAACCGTCAATAGGGTTTCGATCTCACTCCACAGCCGCAAACGGCGGCGCTAACCTCAATTCCCACCCATTTACATTCTCAAGGCTGATGGCTGAAATTAGATATATGCAGGTTTACTATTTTTGGTTCTGATGCATTTTTCCACCGGATAGAGTGCTACTCAACTGAACTGCACCAAATCCTGCAATGTTGATCGGTCAAATTGACGGTTTTGCAGTGGAACAAGACCGATCCAACTCTGGCCCAACCTTGGCATCCATCAGTTTTCTTATATGCCCCTCTCTAGACTTTACTTTCTCTCTCTACAATCATCATGGGTATTGATCTTAATTCTAAATTATTGGTTTCGATTTCGGCCTTTTTGTTGCAGACCTTGTTTTTTTTTTTTCTCTGTATTTTATTGTTTATCTTTTTGACCATTTTTGTGTGTTCTTGTTTGTATCAATCAGCAACATCTGGCATGAAGAACAAGATCGAAATCAACTGTAATGATCCGATTTGTCACATTATACCTATTCCTTTCTGATCAAGCATCTTTCGAATGAAAGGTTTGAATCTGTTTGTTGTTGGGGTGCTCTTTGATTTGCAGTACTAGCGAATGTTTCTAATTTACTTTTTTTTTTTCAGTTATTCATAGGTTATCAATGATAGAGGTTTGAAGTATTTCACTCTCAAAGACTTCGTTTGGAGATGTTCAAGGAAAAGTAAAGTCTTTCAAGTGACCATTTCCTTGTTAGTAGAGGCCTATTTGGTGCTGCATGTGTAATTTGTAAATTTTTAGTATAAATCAGTGGTGGTGGTGTTAGTTTTGCATCCCTTGTAATACATTTGACTATATGAATTTAAATGATATATGGTATTATAGTAAATGTGCAATTATATTGTTTCTTTTATATAATTTTTAATTAATTATTTTTTTATTTTTGGAAACCTTTTTACAATAGGCATTGGCCGTGGTCAATTAGTAGTCTACAACGATCGTAGCGCATGATGTAAAATTCTAATCTTCTACAGACTTTGTTCGTGATTATTATATCATTAACAACATGTTTTGCCCGTGGTAGAAGTTCAGACTGTTTATCACATCCAGAATCCTAACGGGCATAATGTCTGTGGTGGATTTTGATCTATCACGGGCATTCACCATGGTAGATGTTGGTTTTTCTTCTAGTAATAAACAGATAAAATGAGAGGAACATAATCAATGATGGTGCTCTAAGTTGCATCCCACTTTAACTACAAACTTCATTAATCCGGCAAGGCAATGTAGGAAAAAAAACAGTTATCAACGTGTGGGGCGTTATTAAACTTTACCTTGTTGTGACCCAAGGCATCAGTTGTGGATGTCGATGGTGTGCTAGGTGTGCGGGGGGCGGTAGTGACCATGTCTGGCATTAACAGGTAGCACCACTGATGAGGTTGATGACGCCGTCACCTGGGAAACCTCGGGACCAACCGGCAAGTGGTCCATTTGTGGAGGAGCAGTGGCAGCTAACGGATGAGCCATGGGAGGAGAACGGGGTGCAGTTGTCACCGCCTTACGACTTCTAAACATTTAAAGAAACAAATATAAAAGAAAAAAAACATGAAAAAAAAAAAAAGAATAAAACAAAAAAAAAAAGAAAAAAGTAATAAATTGAACCAGTTTCAACCAAAAAAACCAGCGACTTGGAGCCGTGCAAGGAGACCTCAAAACCAAAGCCCAGACTCAGTGGGCTTCAGCGCCTCATGGCAGAGAACACCAAATACAAGTACAGCACTATTCGACGGTTAAAGAGCTTACCCACAGGAAAAAGCACCAATGGCCTACAAGCCAGTGATATTGGAGCCCATTGCCACAGAAATTAGCAAACCCCGTGGCCCTCTCTAAGCCACCTTTTACGGGCCTTGGCTATAAAAGCTACGGCACACAACAAGCAACACCTACATTGGGCTATGGATTTTTTTAAATCCAAATGAATATTTTTGTCAAATTCTTTTATTTAACCTGCAATGGGTGGGCGTACTATTACTATATTTCTTTATTATGGGTTTTGATACAGCCTAGTAATAACAAAATACAAAATTTCGCATACTTAATACCGTTAATATGGTTTCTTGCCACCAATAAATCTCACTCTTGTACATCTCATGGCTAATTTTTGAATGGCGACATCACATCCACCAAAATTCAACCATATCTATGAAAATATAAGTAACTATAATACTCAATGAGACATTTTTATTAAATTAAAGGCAGAATAGTAGCCTCAACACCTTTTTGCCAATAAATATTGTACCACTTATCCATTGTACAGCAAAGAATACAAAACCATTCCTCTAATATTTATCGGTATTTTATTAAGTTGAAATCCCGTTGGGTATAAGTCAATGCATCATATCTTGTTTTCTGTTTCTATATAACTCACGATGACTCACACAATATTCTCTCTTACCACACTTATTTATATAGAGAACGATTACTCATAGATAAGACATATATACCAAGCAAATTACACTTATATCAATACTCTCATACTTGGGTCAGTTATAGGTAGGAGGTTACATTTTTTTGATAAGATTGTATTCGTGTGTGGTGGGGCTGCATCATGTTATCCCGATAGTATCTTATTTGTAGAGATCTGTAACATCTGATTATTTGCATCATATCTAACAATAGGATAACTACTTATGCTGATTGGTGAAGATTTTTATTCGCACTTTTTGGAGTTTGAATCGCATGTATGAGAATCTCTTTTCGATTATATATGATCACCTAATTGAATCTATTAAGATATGACTGGTTAGTCCCGAGCTATGGAAACTCGTGGTAAGACTTTTTGTCACTTAGGATTCTAGTCGTTGAAGATTCAATATAGACAGTAATTCGACTCGGTGTGTCGCACTTTGATTGTGAAGGTGAGGAACCTCCAGAACTCGATTTTTTTCATACGAATGGATGATCTTGTTTGTTCTGAGTGGTGATTATTATTTCACATAATATTATGAACCAATCACACCAGCATGTTTTCGTTTTGTAACGCTCCGTTTTCAGGGAATGTCACTAATGAAATCAATTAGTACAATTAGTCTAATTGCTAGGTAATAATTACCACGACTTCTTAAGGATTAGTGCTGTCCGGAATATATATACGCATACCTGAAGTGGTTCAAGACATGCAACTCCATCTTACTCGACAAAAGTCATAGAGCTATTCTATTCGAGGACAATAAAATGATGCTTAACGTTTCGTCGATGATCATACCTTACTGACAGTTTATCGCGTGAGCATGAGTGATACTTATCTTTCAGGTGTTCTAATATCATCATACCTTGTAATACCATGATGATATGTAGCTACCAGACACATAGTAAGATTAGTCATATGCTTATAGAGATAATGGCAGCCAGGATTGAGTGGAAATGGGATTAGTCATGACGGTCTTTATTGGACCGCTGTTGTCATCTTGGGGTGGCGTTGGTTCTTCTGTTAGTCGCATTCGAGTCTTGTTCGTCGAAAGGGTTCTGAACTTCGCTGATTTACTACATCGTACATTTTAATTTTCTGTCTTAGTTGGATGCTGGATAGCAGTACAATGCTAGGTTTTGGGATACTAGCACGTTTGAGTCAGTTTTTTTGCGTCATATGACTGAGATTGTTAAGTCGATGTATAGTGAAATAGGACCTTCAAAACTCTGTATATAGGGTTACTGTAGTATTTGGTGGTAGAATCATTTCGTGCTACTTTACTTATTAGTATTTGCGGGCTATACCGATGAGACTTTACACTTGATTCATCCATGATTTTCCTTGCTCGGGGACTAGCTATAAATATTACTCGAGCGTATTTTCTGTGACCTTTTTCATTATTTCGATCTATCCTATTATTTTTTTGTTCATATATGCAACTAACCAATATTAGGCCGTCTGAATATACAGTCTTCACACAAATAGTTTTTACAGATATTTAGCTATTTTTTACTTATTATTCATGTTTGTTACCTTCTCGCTAAAAGCAGAACCAGCCTTTTTATATCGATGTATCACATTCGATTCATCCTTACAACGATCACTTCAACTATGTTCAGTCGAACGTCAGCTATCGCGCATTCGTGGAAAGGCGACATGCGACCGAGGGCGAGTTACAGGTTCTAGTGTCAGGATCATAGCCTTACAACTAATGCAATAATATCGGCTTTTTTCTATTTCAGATTTGGTCTCCTTGTTAGTTGTTTTTTATAGATTAGAGTATTGGAGAGGGTTCATGCGTCAATGTACCAGTCTCCTATGCACTAGTAGGTCTTGAGCAAAGTCGTGAAGCAAATCATGAAGGCCGGGTCGAACTACGGCAATTCTCGGTAAAGTATAGAGTGGGTGTGAAGATAATTATGGTACACCTAGCACAAAACATAGTAAGCGTATTACCTCTTTCATAGTGCCGCCTTGTATATGGCCTCCACAAATCTTTCAAGAGAGATAATAGTGGCGAAAGTTACGGCCGTATTCGATGAGATCGCTTCCATCTGAGAGCGACCTATTTGTTGATATTACTTGTGATAGGAATCAAATTGATCATTAGTGGTCATGCTAGTGCTGCTAATTTTCTATGAACCTAGCCTGATTCATGAATGGCGATAATTTGGCCAACGTAAGTGCAATTCTCCCTTCGTTGAGCGATACTTTCTGGAGCTTGCTCATTGGGATTGCTACTTCCCGGCGTCAAGACGCACTACGTCAAGGTTACCGAGTGGCTTTTCGATGCTATCCGTTTCTGGAAGAGCTTTCGAACGTATTTCAATGAAGCATCCACTCCCATGGGTAAGAATTAAGAGTTTAGCTTACTGGGTTCCGGTCTTGAGGACAGATTATCGGTTCATTTAGGCTGTTTCTACAATTCGTCACACTCCTAGTATGGTGCCCGACACACGGATCTTTAGGGATGTGGCCAATCATCATCTCCCTGCATCTATGTTAGGTTTCACGTGGGGCTTATATATGTATCTATCTGTTTTCTCGTAATCAGACAATTTCGTTTCTTTTTTTTGCTTTTAAAGAGTCTTCGATGCGACTTGTGTCTATTTCTGCTTTCGTCATTGCCGTCTTCTGAGGTTTGTCTTTTGTTCTTGAAGCTCTAGACGAGGTTTGGATGATTAGTTTTATATTTATCAATTCGTTCTTTAGTCTATGCTATGGTGTCTTGTGTCGACTAATGGATTGATACTTTGCACATTTGCAATGGGTTTCGTAAAATTATAGATTTATGCTTTAGCGCTATTCGTGTGATCATATGTTAATTATTAATACTAGATCGTTAGGTTGTATTAGTATATGATGTAATCTGCGACGATGGGTGGATGAGATAGCTGTAGTGGATTCCTTGGCTCTGATAGTGCCTCTGACCATGGATCGCACACCATAATTGCGTGAGAAAGAACACCTAACTTTTGGCTCAACTTACTTATTCAGTTACGTGGACAACAATGTGCCAAGGCCATCCTGTAACAGTTAATATTCTTCAGGCCCGTCCAACCTGTTCAGAGCGGATTGGAGATAAACTATCCAGCACCGCGTTCAACCATCTTACGTATCGGAGAGTGCCGTAGTTGAGCAATTGCGATACCTGAATATATAACACGAATTAATTAGATCAGGCTCTATATTTAAAAAGGCCATAATAATTTATATGTTAATTTCTATCGTGTGGTACTTACTGAATTGATTTTGTCTTTGTTTGCGTCTACGGATCGCGTGAAGTCTTGCATTCTCAATTTAAAGTTGGCAGCTGGTGGCTTTATTCATTTCTTTTCGTTCGACTTGGTAATCTTCATTATCGCCGAGTCTGGG